CGAGTAGATAGTGCGGTTGTGCTCTGGCTGGTCGGCTGTCACTTGTGCGCCCATACGGCATAATGACATATTAATATGGATCGTTTGGAGAAAGGAAAGTAGAGATAGTGGAGATGGTGCACTTGCTGAAGAAGAAAGGGGAAGACAAGTAACGGATGACACCGAAACCGAAAACAGAGTTTGGTGTGTGTGCATCTGGCCACCATTCTCCAGACAGCCATTGGTATCCCACACCGCAAGGAGACAATGAGTTAATGAGCCTCAAAGTTGCGATAAAAACAGCAGAAACATCGAACAGACATTCACTAAGAGGGAAGTAGTTTTCTCGATAAGTAGCCGTGCTGTTGCTGCTGCTGATTTCAAATATTACTCAATGGACAGGGTGCAATGACAAACAATTGCCCATTCTCTCCGGTGAAAAGTCAATCGGTGCTCATGCAGAGTGTGCGTCACATCTGCGGTATCATCATTTGCAAATTAGATTGATGTGCCTGGGTACGCTGTAAGCAGACTGCGTCACCACCATCACAGTAACATTACAGTGGCCTGCAATTGTCGGTCCACATCGCTTTGGACACTGAAAAGTGAAGCGGACAATGATAAGAGNTCTGCGGTATCATCATTTGCAAATTAGATTGATGTGCCTGGGTACGCTGTAAGCAGACTGCGTCGCCACCATCACAGCAACATTACAGTGGCCTGCAATTGTCGGTCCACATCGCTTTGGACACTGAAAAGTGAAGCGGACAATGATAAGAACAGTAGCTCAAAGTTTGCTGCACCACTGTGGCGCTGTGTGAGTGTGCATGCAGTTCTTCTAATCGATGGGAGAACTGAGCCTTCCTCGGTCTGTGCAGCAATTGTGGTCGCCGCCGTCAAGCTCGGCGATTATGAAACACAGGCAGTGTGTCCAAAGCCTACCCTTTACTGGCAGCATAATTTGGCCATTACTTTAAATATTGTAACTCTTATCTCTATACCGGGTTTCCTTTCTGTTGTCTTTGCTGCAGAGGAAGCAGCAGCAGCGAGGACTGTTGTCCCCCTCTTTCCCTAATGTGCGCCTTCGATTATTAAATAATAGTGCTCTTTCTCTCTGCCTTTCTCGCCACAATGATTGCCTAATGGGCAGTATTTATGGCTATTGATTGGCAAAAGGCTGCTAGTGGCGGCTGGGCGACACACAGACAGACAGACACTGACTCACTGCGTACTATCCGATAATAATAATTCGACAGTTTGCCTCCTCTTCGTCGTCGGCGTCCTCATTGTTGGTTTTTTCGCCTTCGACAAGCCACACAGCGTGAAGAGGGCCCATGGTGTTCCTCCTTCCCACCCTCTGCTCTCTGCGTCTCTGTCACCAAACGGACAATTATTGGCTTGAATAAATCGCCATTTAGCCGTCCGATAAGACGACGCTGCTGCTTTGCTGCAAATTATAATAAATTTGCATTAATTCAATAGAATATGACTGACTGACTGTGCGTGCAGCCGTGGTCTTCTTCTTCTTCATGGTGGTCGTTATTGAAACTCAGAAAGATGATGGTCCGCTTTCAATTGGCTTGACTAACACCACATTAAATGTGCATTTACATACACGACCATTTAAAAAAGGAGGCAGATTGATCTTCATTTGGACTTGCCGGTGGCAGTAGTAACTGTAGCTTTTGAGGCGGTAGCAACACCTAAAAACGTAAAGGCACAACTACAACATAAAGAGTACAATCATGGTAATGACAGTGGTTTACTTACATCAGCAATGACCAGCAGTGCCAATCAATTGGCAATTGCTACAAATGACCAGCAATGCATTTGCACGCCAATTTTCTCTATATACCAATGTACGTCCAGAATACTGCGGATAATGAATGGATTCAAAGTGCTGGAACAGAACACAAGGCGCCATCTGAGCACACTTCACTTAACTGAATGAGCTACTTTCTGGAACAAAACAAAACAAATAGGTTGTATTCTAGGACGCAGGATAAAAAACAGCTGTTCAGATAGTGTTATCGAGTTTTTTCTTTTTGTTTGTGAATACAAAACACAAACAAGTTGTTTGAAACAACTTTGAGAAAAAGCGTCTCCAGTGTTTGTAGATGGCGCTACATTGTTAAATCGGTCGATTGAAAATCGAGAAATTAAATTAGATCAATAGTGCTCTTCTGCTGAAGATTTCACTTTCACAATTGAATTAAAGTTGAATGAAAGACTTGCAAAACTTGCACCAATTTGGACTAGATTTGCTGGCCAAAAGCTGACCGGAGAACTTGACGGCTGGTGCGCACCGGTGGCTGACATNCAGTGTTTTTAGATGGCGCTACATTGTTAAATCGGTCGATTGAAAATCGAGAAATTAAATTAGATCAATAGTGCTCTTCTGCTGAAGATTTCACTTTCACAATTGAATTAAAGTTGAATGAAAGACTTGCAAAACTTGCACCAATTTGGACTAGATTTGCTGGCCAAAAGCTGACCGGAGAACTTGACGGCTGGTGCGCACCGGTGGCTGACATTCTCTCTTTTCAGTTCTGTGTGTGTGCAATAAATTAGCCAATAAGTTAGTGAAGAGAGTCACAAAAGTGACACAAAGGAAGGGCGACACACAAGCACAGAGCAATCTATGGTCTGTCGACAGACAGTGCAAGAGAAGAAAGAAAAGAAGAGTTCAATGGAGTGGCGATTAATTGGTTTGGGAGAGGGAGCAAAGAAGGGAGTATGGTAGAGAACTAGACGACAAACGGCGGCGTCACCAAATGAGAAAACAGGAGGAGACACTCACACAAGCACGCTCGGAATGGCCAATTTTAATTGGCTAAGCGAAACTTAATTAAAAATATCGTTAATTAAATTACATAAGGCAAAGTTTGTTAATTAAGTCCGTTGAATGAATGACATCAAAGGATTCCACGACCACTCGACCGGAACGAGATGAGGGCGAAGGGGGCTGAAGAGGAGGAGGATAGAGAGGGGAAAGTAAGAGAGAGAAAAGCATCTCATAAAGGGCTAGTCAATGTACGATCTCCTACCTTTCTCGCCGACAGACAGTACACAACAACAACTGGGAAAAAGCACGCACATCAGTGGCACTGGCTGAACACAGCAGCAGTTCTTTGTACAAGCAAATTACACCAGTGGACACTTAGGTTCGAGTGCAAGAGGAGCAAATGTGCCGAACTTCAATGACGTCTAATGGCTGCCTTGTTGCGTGAAATTACACAAGAGAGAGAAAGGGAGAAAAGAGAGAATGTGTCCGTCCTACAAACACCAACTGTGGGCGACACAGTCGGTAGAGATAATTCGATTTCTGCCATAGCACACTCTGTGATGTACTTGAGTAGTTCTACAGCAACAGCAGCAGCAACAGCACTCCACCGAGTGTCATCACAAACTGCTGTTCACTGCCGTTGGCAGGAGAAAATCTGCCTGACTGTGTGTGTGTTTTAAAGTTTCCTTTTAATTAGCAGATTATTTTTATCAAGCTGTCTCAGTGGCTGAGTTAATTGAGGCTATGTCTGCTCGTTGTCGTCCCCCACTTTTCCCCTCCTTCCTCCCTTTCATTCTGCCATTGCCACTTTCTCTCCTCTTGACTCATTCTGCTGTAACAGATTAATTCGGTCTGCACTTCGTCTCTGTTCTCTTCTCCGAGCAGCACTACACAACTTTTTTTCCTCCCATTCTCACTGCCCCAAGAAGTAAAATTGCGAATTTTAATTAGAGAAAGAGAGGGAAAGGGAGAGAGAAAGAAAAGGGCCCGAGCACAGATTCTGCCAACTTTGCCATTATTATGATTGGGCTGCTAATCGAGACAATTACTCCTGCTGCTAAACCATTCTGCACCACATCTACTCAATTATTTATGCCGTTTAACTTTAACTAGCAGTCCAACTTTAATTAAATTGCTTTCGCTTCAAAGGGAGAGTGGTACAAGAGAGTGAGAGAGAGCGACATTGCAGGCAAGGCTGAACCGAGTACAACCGAACTCCACAGGGCCGTGTCCTTTCAGTGAGATTGCCCCGGCACTGCGATGACGATGAAGGAAGGCAGGAAACGGAGGAGACTACCGACGAACAGCTCAGCGCCGGTGTAGGAAGAGAGATGTTTGCCAGAAGCGACTGCGACCACTGGCTTTTCATTTGGTCAATCGATATACTTTTTTATTTTTTCTTTTATTAATATTATTGCGAGTTGGAGCAGGCAATTCAATTCAATTTGCCGTCCGCTTCACTCATTGACGCCTGAGTTCTCGACAGTTTAGGCGTACAAAGGAGCACATGCAAAGACAGCTTGGGATTGAAAGTGAAAAGGAGAGAGAAAATTGCTTATTCGACTGATGCTGCTCACTTTTGCAGACGGTTGGCAGCTGCAGCAGCTCTCGCTATTTACAGAATCAATCAATCGGTGCAAGGAAAAAGAAGAGTTGAACACTTCACAAACGAAAGAGAGAGTAACAATAAATTAAAATTTTTGAGAGAGAGCAGATGTAGCAAAGCAATATACAAAGCAATATACAGAGAGATGAAAAGGAAAGAAAGGAAATGAAATGAGAGATTAAGAATGAAAGTGAAAATGAGAATAACACTGCTGATGGTGATGATGATCAGTAGAACGCGTATGACAGAGTGATAAGGATAGGGATGATCAATGGCATGCAAAGAGGATGAAAGCTTTTAAACGTTGCAGTTTAGTTAGCCTGCACAAGAAGATTTAAATGATGAACTGCAGTTTGACAAATGTCAATACAATGATACCAGTAAAGAGACATGACCTTTCTCTAAACTGACGTGTGAGTGTACATCTCAAGAGGTTAAAATGAAACGTGTCAAACTACGAGTGGACATCTTCAAGTAATAAAGCTACCTAAGCAGCTGCTCTCAAATGCTAACTAGAATGATTGCAGAGATTTGACTGTGACGACAAGTGTTGAGAGTGAGATGATGATAATAATGTGATTATGATGATCATTCAGTGCCGATAGTGGCACTTGGCCTCCTGTCATTTACTATCACTGAGCGACATTGAGTCAGGAGACCCGTAACCAGAGGAGCCATCGTCGTTGACATTGACCACCGGCGGTGGTGACAAAGAGGAGGCAAGTGACTCGGTTTGCTTCTTCAGCTTTTCAATGTGATTGCTGTATGTCGCTGCTGAACTGTTGTTGTTGTTGTTGGAGCCATAAACGGTCATCTCCTCAAAATCGTACTCACAGAGTATTCGATTTTCGTGCAAGTGAAAGCGATCGCCGACGCAGAATCTGTGGTTGCACTGACTGCACTGAAAGCACTCAACTAGATTTTGATAAAAGCAAACAAGAGAATAGTTAGTTTCAGCGGAACAAACTTCAATTGTAAAGAGAGCAACTGCTCTTCACTTACGATGATACACACGGCCACCATTGAGTTTCATTGCCATCTCAAAAGCGGGAATTGTCTTGTTGCAAGCGGAGCACATTCCGGTTGTGCCGAAGAGTCTGTTTTTGGGGCGACAATGCGTATTAGTAATCTTCGTATCATTGGACACTGAGCTAAAGAAAAGACACACTTACCTCAAGTAGTCACGTTTACAGAGAATGAGATTAGCCTTGGTGAAGAGCGTCGAGCCCACCTCGCCCAGACGACAGTCGCAACAGGCACATTTGAGACAGTCCTCGTGCCACAGCTGATCGAGCGCCTTCAGCAGGTACCGCTCTTTTATGGGCTTCTGACAGGCGGCACAAGAGGCCGAGGATGCTGGCGAGGAGGCCGAAGAAGAGACGGTGAGCAGACTGCTCGTCTGACCGGACACTGTCGCCATTGAGGGGCCAAAACCGCGTGCACTCGCACCACGGGCACCTCCGAGTGGACCAACGCTGCTTAAAGTGGTGGCTTTCATTTCCATAGCCTGGTATTTGTCTACAAGAAAACGGGGAAAGACAAAGAAGCAAATATTAGCTGAGAGTCAGAAATGGAACGGCAGTGAAACAGTCTTCAGAAGGAGCAAGAGCACACGCTAATTGATTAGTGCCTAATGCACTTCTGTCTTTTTCTTCTTTTTCTGGTTGTCAAAGCATGCAGCAGTGGCAACGGCAAAAAAGTGCAACTTGTTCATTTGATTGACGCAAAGATAGTTTTTTCTTTCATTTCTCTCTCTCTTCTCTACTGAGTGGCTAATTAAAACGCAATTGCCGTTCGCCACCAAATGATGTGTGTGTATGGCAATTCTNAGACAAAGAAGCAAATATTAGCTGAGAGTCAGAAATGGAACGGCAGTGAAACAGTCTTCAGAAGGAGCAAGAGCACACGCTAATTGATTAGTGCCTAATGCACTTCTGTCTTTTTCTTCTTTTTCTGGTTGTCAAAGCATGCAGCAGTGGCAACGGCAAAAAAGTGCAACTTGTTCATTTGATTGACGCAAAGATAGTTTTTTCTTTCATTTCTCTCTCTCTTCTCTACTGAGTGGCTAATTAAAACGCAATTGCCGTTTGCCACCAAATGATGTGTGTGTATGGCAATTCTTTAAGGCGAGAGTGAGTCGAACTTTCCATTTTATTGACTCTCGTATTATTCCTATATGAATTGTTTTTTTTCTGCCAACTCTTATAACTCAACTTCTAGAGTACCTAAAATTTAGATTGAAGTTTCAAATTAA